GCGCTCGGGCGAGGCCGCACCGTGGGGCGCCCGCGTGCTCCACCCGATCGTGCATGCGACCGTGCACCCACGGGCCCCTGGTGCTCGTCCCTGCGCCGAGCCCTGGCGGCGCCACGCGCCGCAGCCGCTGCTCCAGCCTCCTTGCCCTGCTCGTGGAGCGACGGCCCCCGTGTGATCACCTGCGCCCCCCCCAAGGCAGCGGCAGCCATCGTACAAACGCCACCGTCTGGCCGACGGCGATGTTGACCTGTTCTCGCTACCCAACGGTCTCAGCCCCTACCCTACCGCCTGACATTCGAACCCAGGTTCGCGGCTCTGGGTTCCGGCTCCTACCCGGATAGGGGGTCTGTCGGCACTGGCTGGCCCCTCCCAGATAGGTAGGTAGGTTGGTCTTGTTTGGCCCAAAAGGGCCCTGCAATAGGTAGGTACCCCCTATTTTCATCTTTTTTCGCTTCGCTGCGCGGCCTGGGGATAGGTAGGTAGGTAGGGCGTTTTGGCGCGAGTCAGTGCGCAGAGACCCCCTATCCGGGTAGGAGCCGGAACCCTGTTGGGCATGTACTTGTCGAAAAAAAAATCATCCTCGTCTGGCCGCGACGCACTCCATCGAGAAATCCCGCGGCCAACCATCGCCCCGGAGTGCGTTAGCGCGCCCAGCAGGCATGTGCGTTCGCGCGTCTGCCTCGCAGAGCGAGCAGCGCATGCGCTGGCGTCGCATTCTTCCTGCCGGCGTGATGACGCTGACAGGCTACGGCATATTCGTATACGGCGCCAGCGGCTTCATCGCTCCTGTCGAGGAGCAGGCGCCGATGCTCTCGCACTCGATCGTGCCGTACTGTGCGACGCTGCGCTCGCTGGTCTTTGCCGCCTTCAACCTGCTGTTTGGCAAGGCGATGCTGCGGTCGGCGTCGCCCCAAACGCTCGTCCTCATCGGCACCGGCTCGTTTGGCGTCGGCATCGCGACCACGGCGGCGTCGGTCGCGGTCGCGCCGTCCCACGCTCTCCTCCTCCTCGGCTTCGGCGACGCCACCGGAGGCGGCGACGGCCCCTTCCAGGAGCCTTCTACGAACTCTTCCGGGAGCCCCTTCCTGTAGGGGTCGCCACTGGAGTCGGCTCTGGCCTCGTCTATATGTCCATCTTCACACCGACGCTGGCGTGGTTCGCGGACCGGAAGGGGCTCGTGGCGGGGCTGCTCGGCACCTCCCTCTCTCCCTCTCTGTCTCTCTGTCTCTCTCTCTCTCCCCCTCTCTCCCTCTCCCTCTCCCTCTCCCTCCCTCTTCCTCATCCTCTGGCTCCCTCTTCTCCCTTTCTCTCGCTCCCTCCTCTCTCTTCCTCTCTTCTGCTCTCTCTCTCTCGCTCTCTCTCTGTCCCCCCCCCCGTTCTCCCTCCCTCTCCAACACTGGCTTTGCGGGTCACGCCATGTCCCGGACAGGCGCCGGCCAAGGCCTGGGCGCTACTCTGTGGAACGCGGCGGCGTCCCCGCTCTCCCGCGCGCTTCCCGCCTCCTCCATGCTGCTGCTGTACGGTGACTGCGACGCTGGGGCCGGCGGGGGGAACCTTCCACGAACCTTCCGGGAGGCCACCTGTAGGGGGCCTGATTGGGAGCTGCTGGGGCTGGGGGGCCCTCGTGACCTGGCCGCCAGGGGGAGGCCCTCCCGCCGCCGCCGCGACGCGCGGCCGCTGCGGCCTCTTTGCGGACTGCGACGCAAAGCTGCTGCTGCTGTGGTGCGTCAACCTGATCGGCATGGCGTCGGGGTTTGGCGTCTTTACTGTGCTGCAGGCCTGGCTCGAGGCCCTCCTCCCTCGCGCAAGTGGAGAGCGAGCCGAGAGATTGGGTCGAGATTGAGCGGAGATTCGGACGAGGGGTAGGCTCTCCTCGCGCCCGCCGGCGGCGCCGCTGCGGCGCACACGCTGAATGCGACGGCGGGGACGGCGGAGGCGGAGGCGGAGGCGGAGGCGCGTGCGCCGGCGTCGGTGGTGGCGGCGGTGTCGATCTTTTGCACGTCAGTGATCATGGTGAGATTCAGCCGAGATGCAGCCGAGATGCAGCCGAGATTCGCTCAGATTCCTTGCAGATCGTGGCGAGATGCAGCCGTCTCTGAGCCTTGAAGGAGCAAGGTAGGACCTTTCTCGGACCCTTCTCGGACCCTTCTCGGACCCTTCTCGGACCCTTCCCTGCAGGTGGCACGCCCTCTCTCGGGGGCGCTCTACGACCGCGTCGGGCCGCGCCGCTTCCTCACTGGCCTCCAGCTGGCGCAGCTGGCGGTGCACGCGCTGCTGGTCGCGCAACAAGCCACGCGCATCGGTGGGCTGTGGCTGCCGCCGCTGCTCATCTCCTGCCTCTTCGGCTGCTTCGCGGCGGCGGTGACATCGTCGGCGCCGCTGTCCGCCGAGATTCGCCGAGATTCCTCAACATTTCCCTAGATTCGTAGAAAATAGCCGACGCTCGGCGGTGGCCAACATGCCGAGCGTGACCAGCTTGCCGCACAACCTTCACCGCTAGCTTGTACTTCTTGCTGCCTTGCCGCTTCGGGTAGAAGGAGACGCCTTTGTAGCCGCTGTTGCTGCCGCTACTGGTGGCCAGCGTAAGGCCCTCCCTCTCCGCCTGCCGTATCGAATCGGCGCCAGCGGCAGAAGTGGGCGGCGGCAGAGGCGGCGGTGGCGGCGGCGGCGGGTAGAGCGCAACCATATCCCTGCCCGCCTCCCTGCGGGCGTAGAAGAGCGCCGCCTCCTAGGCGGTGGCAAAGAGGCCGAGGGTGACGTTCCTGCTGCCATCCCACACGTCCAGCTTGAACTTCTTGCTGCCTTGCCGCTTCGGGCAGAAGGACACGCCTTTGTAGCCGCTGTTGCTGCTG